AGTGTTGACGTGTCTCCAACTGTATTAGCAACAACACCATACTGATTAATAACATTACAAATGAAAATAATGTTACCTATGCAGTTAAATCAGCAGATTATGAAATGTATGTCGGCATGGCTTGACTAAGTGGCAATTAGAAGTATGCATTTTTAAATAATTATTATCAGTATGATAAAAATAATTTTTTAATAATTTTTCAGAATATTCTAAAATGAAATTGTGAATAATGTGTTTGACATTTTTTTCCTATTTAGTCACCGTATAACTCGATGAAAAATATGCGTTTTTTTATAGTTATCAGTACATTGAATTCATTTTATAAAATTCGAGGCTATAGTCCGCTTAATCCCCACCCTCATTCCATATAAAATAAATAACGTTTTTATAACTGCGGTAGTCGAACTGCCATCATCAGAATAGSTTTCTAGTTACATTCTGAGTCCACTCTAATAAGTTAATCTTTTACAAATTTCTCTCATCTAGATTCTCCTCCGGGTTATCAGGAACTGTGAAATGACGAAATTAGCGAATGTGGAAGAAATTCTGCCAGCGTTTCCGGCAAAGAAGAACGGTAAGCGAATGTCCGGAATAAAGTGGCGTCCCGAGATTTTTCAATGGGGGTGGGGCTAAACAAAGTTAATTATAATTTGATGTCCATTTCCTAATAGACTATAGTTATGATATTACTATAAAAATATAAATAAATCGTTAATGCCATATCCCGTATAATACGTCTGTGCCCGTAACTGCAATAACCTTCTTCTTTTTTTTTTTTTAGAAAAGATAAAATAGGTATACAATCTGTAATTAATATATATTATATTACGGTCAATGACGAAAATGATGATATTACGTTAGGGTCCGGCCAATGTCGAAAAAGACCTTGTAAAATACAAATTTAYGTAAATGGCCGGTAATTTACGTAGTAAGTGACGACACATAATTGGTTAATGTTGTAAACACGATTATTATTTTACTATTAACGTCATAGGCGCAACTAGATCTCTGAAATGTGGGGTGCTAAATCTGTGAATGTATCACAAAGCCGTGAGGGGCTAGCCCCCCCCCACACTCCTACACATAGACCAACATTAATCGATACATCGATACTTTAAAACACATATTAAGACATTTTACAAAAATAAGAAAAATGAACAACATTTATGGTACTATTTTTTTACTACAATATCAGTAAAATATTGAAACATTTTAATTTCATAATCTTGTTAAATAAATAATAATTAATACATTTTAAATCAGAATAATTTTTCTGGGTTTCATGCAATATTTATTCAAAACAGTTTAGGTGTTTATCTGGTTGAATAAATATTTTTCAATATTCAACAAAGATAAATAACGAATTATATTATTACGACCAAATAGTTATACATTTTTTCAGGAAATTTTCCATCATTTAAAAACATAAAATACACAGTATTTCAYTAAAATAATAATAGTTAGATATATTAAACAGGGAGTCCTAAATTTTAACTTTTGGGTGCTAAAGACCCTTTTGCACCCCCCTAGTTGCGTCACTGATTAACGTCAATTCCCAACTCCTGTTGGACGTTGTTGTAGATTATACATTAATTATACTTTTAAAACATACAGGTCAGTAGGTCACTGTCAGTTATCTACCCATAACTGATGGAGTGATGCATAGGCGCAAATTGCACGGGTGCTAAGGGTGCTTAGCACCCTGAATGTTAATGCTAGACCCCGAATCCCGTGGTTATAACTTATAGCACTATTACCATCATATTTCCATAATAATTACATTTATTAAAAATTCTAAAACAGTYTCATATTTATTTGATTATTTAGGTATAATATAATATGTCGGGTTTACGTCTGGATATATTCAACTGCAATGACATATAAAACATATTATATAATATCATAACAATTGTTGTGAAATTATGATATCATCGGGAAATTTGATCTGTTTCCTCAAACATTGTTGGTGCTTAAGCCCCCATAATGTTTTTGGGTGATTTGCGCCTATGGAGTGATGGCTATAAGTCTAATAATGTCGTGATTATCTAACAAATTATCAAATTTAGATACCTATAATTTATTTTATTGGATTTTTTTCCCATATCGTATTTTAGCTATTTTATTATCGGTTGCGGACATCGTATTGATTTGACATCGCTTGATTCGTAGGTTCAAAATTTCGCAGTTCACCGTCTCACGTTTCATTTAATTTTTAAATATTTACTTTTTATTTACGTAAAATRTTAAGTATGGATGTAGATACTGAAAATGTCACAACAGCATCCCTTGCGAAAATAAATAATTAATATAAATGATAACAAATATATTATATGATTAATATTTAAAAAAAAATAAAATTATAAATAATTATAAAATAAAATTATGTGTTTTTTCAGTCAKTGAGGTAAAATTGTTTTATTTTGTTTTGTAATTTACAACAATAAACTTTTATCTTGGAAACTGATGTCATTGACCTGTATAGTTTACGAAAGTAACCTATAGCATCTTGGTTTATAACGTCAATGACGTAAATGTTCAATTTTCGTGTCTCAAGTGAGAGTTTGGAGTGAGAGAGAGGAGAGGTTAGAGATGAGAGGGTTAGGAATTAGAATGATTAATAGTATTTAATAACATTTAAAAATAATTTTTATTACAGTATTACACGAAATGTTTCTTCAAAACCGTCTTATTGTCTTAAGAAATATCGTGGTCTGTATAAATTGCTTTTTTTTCATTAATTAWTTTTTATTAGATTTCAGTGTACAACTATTACATAAATATATAATGTTCCTATATACATGTGTACGACAAGAGAATACCATATTCGTATAGCGTTAATAAGATATTATGGAGTAATATAATAAACAGGTAGTGATGTGGATAATTAACTGTTAAGTGATCTCGTCCAGAGTGAAGGAGATGTCATTAAGTCCGGTTAAGAGGTAAACGAAAAGGCGTGAACTGTGCATTTCTGATGATGTAGACCTGCAAGGGTGTTGGCGCAGCGAGACGAATACGTATGAGTAAAACTGGCAAGAATTTCGTTTAAGGCGAAGGGCAATATTTCGCTACAGATACTAGGCGAGGTCAATCAGTGAGATGAGAAGACGGAGACTTGCAATAGTAAGACCGTTTGGGCCAGTAACACTTGTCAGAAAGTGGACTGAATGGAGTTGAAAACGGAGTAAATCTACTTTTTCTATATTGTTGTATACGAATAATTTATACCATAACRCATTCGATGGCAAATGCTCAAGCCCCTTGACTTGACCCTTAATCCCTTCCCTTCCCCCCCATCACCACACACACACACACAACAATCATTACAGAATTTACACATTGACATCACACTGGCACATCCTGACAGCGACTCGTACATATTAATATTGTATTTGTATAAGATCTAAGCTCGCGCCATTATTTTCATTATTCGGTGAATATATTATGTACAACGTCCGTGGCAGTAACTCAATCTTATTGTATATAACGTCTTTGGTTGGTTTGTACATCCATCCATAAAAAACAGTAACACCGCATTGAAAAAAAAAAGAAATCGTAAAATTGCGTTATGTTCTTCTTAATAATTGCAGACTTAGAATTTATTTGTGTACGTTTGCAGATATGTTTATCGCCACGTGCGTTCTGCAACAGCGGGCGGCCRAAATAAGGAACCTGAACCCTGATTGGGCTTCCTATTTACAGTAAAGTTATTTAATGATTTTATTAATTTTATTCGACATCGACTCGTCATTACCGAATRAAAAATGTGTGKTTTTGCCTGATAGCTTCGATTTAACTTTGTCGCAGCACTCAAATCATATCGCAAGACGTATTCGACTTCATCAACGCCTATGTCGTGACCGACGCCAAGAGCCAATTTTTAAATGACAATCGTGCACGGTTAGCAAAGGCCTTTTTCAGTCTATTGGAACACATCTCTAAGGAATCAAACATACAATATATACTCGTTTTGATTGATGATTTGTTGACCGTGAGTTGTTTCTTTCTTCTTACGTGTTCTGGCTTCGGACCCAACTCATTGTTCGAAGGGAATTGATGTTGCTCAACAATATGGYTAAACTAATTTTTATTTTTATTTTTTTCAAAAATGTTATCTCAGGAAAACCGATCACGTGTGGAAATATTTCACGAATATGCTTTTAAAAAAAACGAACCAGTATGTGGTAAATTTTTGAACCTATTGAACGCTGAGGATGGGTTTATAAGTAAAATGTCGGCACAAATTATAGCAAAGTTTGCCTGYTATTCAACTGACCTCATAAATCAAACTGACCTTCAATTTTACTTGAGTTGGATTAATAAACAATTGCTATCTGCTGTAAGTCAATATTTTAATAAAATATGAAACAATTAATCTAGTTTGTGCATGTGTGCTATTGTGTCAATATCCTTTTCATACATTAAGCAAAATATTTCAACAAAGTTAGGACGATGTTTGGGATATTTGCTGCAGTGGCGTCATTT